TAATTAAAACTTTTGGCAAAACTTTTTTGTTTTTGTTTATGTTTTGCTTATTTGACACATAGATTGGCATTTGGTCCGAGGATAGCAAACTAGACAATGGGCTCAACATAAGCACGCAATGGATTAATCACTACTCGATGCTCACCCTACAAAACACCCACCTAGTTATTACCACGGTGCTCAACGACCCGTATACCATGGTTAAGGAGTCGAGTTTTAAACGTAGTGGGAATGACCAGTTTGAGGGCTATGCCATCGATTTGATACAGGAGCTGTCGAAGCTCCTACACTTTAAATACGAGTTTAGATTAGTGAAGGATATGGCGTATGGTAGGCCCGATAAAAATGGCACCTGGAACGGTATGTCAACTATACTATAATTAATATATTAAGAATATTCTGTGGTGTAACAGTAGTAACTAGTAGGTTAGTAAATTTAGCATGCTAGCTAACACATAGAATATTTTGAATAATATATTAATTTTAAAATTCTTGAATAATAATTTAGTTGATAATATTCTGTGGGCTAACTGTGCAGCCTAGTTAATACAAAGAATATGACACCCACCTCCCTGTGCTTTTATTTTTTGTAACGTAAATTGTTTTCTCAATTTTTAATATTATATAAAAGTTTTATAATTTAATTATTATATATCATTTATATTTAATTTGTTTTATTATTTTGTATTAGATAGCATCCTTTATGATATAATACTTTAGTGGTATAAAGGGTGCTAGTTTAATTAAATTAATAAAGTTCAATTTCTAGTAACTATAGCCAACACAAAGAATATTCTAAATAATATATTAATTTCTAAATTCTTTATTATAATAACTTAACAGTAGAATATTCTGTGGTTTAACAGTAGTAACTAGTAGGTTAGTAAATTTAGCATACTAGTTAGCACATAGAATATTTTTGAATAATAGATTAATTTTTTAATTTTTGAATGATAATTTAGTTAAGAATATTCTATGGGTTAACTGTACAGACTAGCTAGCACAAAGAATGTGCCACCATCTCCCTGTGCTTTTATTTCCTGTAAATTGCTTTCTCAATTTTTAATATTATATAAAAGCCTATATTCTTGAAGTTTATAATTTAATTATTATACTGTATGTCATTTATATTTAATTTATTTTATTATTTTATATTATATAGCATCCGTTATGATACTTTAGTGGTATATAGGGTGCGAATTTAATTAAATTAATAAAGTTTAATTTAACTATACAAAACACAAAGAATATTCTAAATAATATATTATCACTTTTTAATTCTTGAGTAATAACTTAGTTAAGAATATTCTGAAAGTTAACTAGCTAGTGGCTAGTAAGCTAGTAAGATTAATTTAGCCTACTAGCGACTACTTTAAACCTACAGAATATTCTTGAGAATCATATAAATTCCTTAAATTCATGAATAAATCACTGAATTCTGGACACAATTGCAGGTATGATAGGAGAGCTGATCCGAGGGGAGGCCGACATAGCGGTCGCCGATCTCACCATAACCTCCAAACGTGAGGAGGCGGTCGACTTTACCCACCCATTCATGAACACCGGGATCAGCATACTGTTCAAAAAGCCCACCAAAAAAGTCACCTCGCTATTCTCGTTTTTATCGCCCTTTTCCAACATCGTGTGGATCTACGTGGTGGGCGCCTACGTGGGGGTGTCGTCCATGCTGTTCATCGTGGGTCGACTGTCCCCCTACGAGTGGGAGAACCCCCATCCCTGTCGTAAGGAGGACCAGGTGCTCGAGAATGGGTTCAGTTTGTCGAATAGCTTCTGGTTCACCATAGGCTCGCTTATGCAACAGGGGAACGACCTATCGCCTAAGTATGCGTTTATATTACCTAGGTCATAATTGTAGAATAACATATATGGTGATAGTAAATGATACGGTGGAATATTCTTTAAATTATTTATTCATTATATTTAATGTGTTAAGTGTGTTACCAAGCTGTTATATATTTAATAGTAGGCAATTAAATTAAAAGTACTGCATTAATGTTCATATTATACTATTTAGAATTATAATTAGAATTAATTTCAGTTAAAATAAATTTTACTTAAATCCTATAACGTTAATACTAGTATAATATAATTAAAATTCAAATCAATTAATTGTCAAGCAACTTAATTTTATAATGTTATAAGGTGTAATGCTGTATGAATGTGGGATCAAAATGGTAAACAATTTTATATATTTAATTGATAATCAATTAATGTTAATTTTAATTATATTAATATTATAGAATTTAAATGGAATTTTGTTTAGACTGAAATTAGTTTTTATTATTATTCTGAATATTATAGCATAACATTAATGCAATACATAACTTTTAATTAGATTCCTTATTATTCCTATTTAGTTGATTTAATTTTAAGAGTTTATATGAATATTCTGTTGATGATCATATATATATCTAACATCGTAGATTACCTGGGTCACAATTTTAATACAGTCCAAAGTATAACAAATACTATGACAAAAAACAATAATACCAAATACAATAATCTCTAAATTCTGTGATTCTTAATATTAATATATTAACAGTCTATTCATATTAAGAATCACAGAATATTCCGATCGCTGTTTATGAACCAATATAACTAATTTTATGACACCTACCTGTCCCCTCTCAGAGCCATGTCTACACGCACAATAGCGGGCATATGGTACTTTTTCACCCTGATCATGATCGCCTCGTACACCGCCAATTTGGCCGCCTTTCTAACGGTCGAGAAGATCGTGTATCCCATCGAAAACGCCGAGGGGTTGGCCTCCCAGGACCACATCAAATACGGTTGCCTTCAGTCCGGGTCCACCGCCTCCTTCTTCTCCGTAAGGAATCTCCACTTTTAATATCACAGAATATTCTGTGTTTTTGTATTGATTTGTGTGTTGTTTTCGGTGCGGACTAGGAGTCAAACATAACGACATACAAAAGGATGTGGAAATTCATGTCCAGCCACCCGGATGTGCTCCAGAGGTCTAATGAATACGGCAAACGTGCCGTAGAAAAAGGAGAGGGGAAATATGCCTTTCTCATGTAATACTATCCCCCTATATGTATTTTATAAGGCTATTTAGTGATTTTTGTGTACAGTACAATGATTTGTACGAGTAATTATTGTCAGAGTAATATGTAGTTAGGAAGTTATTTAGCTAGTACAATTTTCTATGTATTCCCAGTAATCAAGAATGTATACATAAACTCTGTTTTCATTACAGTTACAGTGTGTACTGTACTGTACAGTGTGTGGGCCAGTGGTATGAAAGCAGAGTTTATGTATAGATTTGGATTACTGGGTATAATAAATAAAGCATTAGACAGTTAATTGGCATATAGCGTACTATAAATAAATAATGTTCACGGATTTTATTTTGATTTTGTTTATTAATTTAGCAATTTAAAAAAATATCTTATTTCTGACACACACATTGTATTCATTCATGTATAGTACACTATATGCCACTTAAGTTAAACTTAATAACCCTTTATTTATACTAAAATCAATATTAAATTTTAGTTTATAAGTAAATGCTTTATTTTATAAGTAAATGCTTTATTTTATAAAGGTACCTTGGTTCAAAAGTGGGTTATACTGTATAGTTTTTAATACTTTTTAACTGTACAATTAGGTTCTATGAGATAATAGGTGTTATAAATGCTCAATAAATAAAGTATAAATTAGCGAATAAACTGATCCTGACAAATGTTTACTTGTAAAAAACCCTGCACACCTAATTACCAAGCTAATATTTCTAACAAAACCTATTAACCCATAGGGAAAGCGCTTCCATAGAGTATACCGTTGAGAGGAATTGCAATTTAACACAAATCGGGGGCCTTTTGGACAGCAAAGGGTACGGCATCGCCGCGCCTAAAGGTATGTATAGCTTGTGTGTGTCTGTCCACACATAACCTGTGGACAGGGATGTGTTCCCTCACACTAACCACTACACTCCCCCATAGACTCGCCATTACGGACACCCCTGAGTCAGGCTATACTCCAACTGCAAGAGTCCGGCGCTCTCCTCATATTGAAGGAGCGCTGGTGGAAGCAGAAGAAGGGCGGCGGACAGTGTATGGACGACGCCAAGAAGGGGTCGGGTAGTGTCACACCCCTTAAGATTGATAACGTGGGCGGCGTTTTCGTGGTGTTATTGGGCGGCCTATCATTCTCGCTGTTTGTGGCGATCCTGGAGTTCATGTGGAAGGCTAGGAATTTTACGCTGAACCAGGTCAGTTTGGGTGGTAGCTAGGTCATATGGTCAAGCATGTTGTGTGAGGGGGGTTGGTGGGGTAGATAGAATGAGGGGTTATTACCAGTATAGCTAATAGTGGGTAGGTTAATATTATGTTAGTATTATGTTAGTAAATTGTTTTGCATTAATTTTATTTGATAAGTATAAACCAATTAACTTGTATAATTAATATAATTTATAAATTATCTTGTTCAAACTGTAACTTTATAATTTATGTATTTCAATATTTATTTCCAATTAATTTCCATTCAAACTGTAATCCCAAAATTCATGACAAATGTATGAGTTGATGAGATTAAGAAATTATAATATTATGGGATAGTAGTCCTAAAGTGACATATTTTTATGAATCCATTGCAATATGTTTAATTAAAATACAAATAATTTACAAATTATTATAATAACCTTCATAAGTTGCAATAGTGCTTTGTATACATTTGTATATTATATATGACAATTGTTTCTAAAATAATTTATTTGTAATTTACCTAAATTGATAAATATTTAAAAATTAATTACTTAGACAGTAATTGCAAGTTATTATAACAAAACTATTTTTAACACAAATATACACAATACAAACCTACTTGATTACTTAAATACTACATGCTTGATAATATGCATGCTAATAAACTATTTAATTTTTACTAAATACTAATTAAAATATTTATATTTTAATGACAATTTTCAGGACACAATATGCGAGGAGATGTTAAGTGATCTTAAATTTGCGTTTTCCTGTCAGAGCTCATCCAAGTCTTGCGTCAAACCGAGACTTGAATACAAATTCAATGAGAAGTACGACAATGGGATACACGATCTTCTCGACCGTTAGAAAGGCGGCCAAATTGGCGGTGTACGAGGCGATCATGATCAGGGTGAAAAAGTACCATATGCCCGCTATTGTGCGTGTAGACATGGCTCTGAGAGGGGGACAGGTATGTGTTATAAAATTAGTTATTTTATTTCATAAACTTTAATCGGAATATTCTTTAGATTCTTAATATGAATAGACAGTTAATATATTAATGTTAAGAATCACAGAATTTAGAGATTATTTATTTTTGGTAATAGTATTTGCTATAGTAAATTTGTGACCTAGGTAAGCTACGATGTTAGATATAAAAATTTATGATAACAAACAAATATTCATGTAAACTCTTAAAATAAATCAACTAATAAGTAGAGAATTAAATTAAAAGCTATATATATATATAATATATTGCATTAATGTTGATGTTATAATATAATACTGTATATTGAGAATGATAATTATAATTAATTTCAGTCTAAACTAAATTCCATTTAAATTCTATAACATTAATATAATTAAAATTAATATTAATTGATTATCAATTAAATATAAAAATTGTCGACCCTTTTGATCCCACATTCATACAGTATTGCACTTTATAACATAATAAAATTAAGATGTTTAACATTTAATTGATATTAATTTTAATTATATTATACTAATGTTATAGGGTTCAAGAAAAATTTATTTCTGACTGAAATTAATTCTAATTATCATTTTAAATATTATTACATTAACATTAATCCAATACTTTTAAATTGATTCTCTACTATTAAATATATAACAACTTGGTAACACACTTAACACATTAAATATAATGAATAAATAATTTAAAGAATATTCTACTCTATCATTTACTATCACCATATATGTTATTCAACAATTATGACCTAGGTAATATAAACCCATACTTAGGCGATAGGTCGTTCCCCTGTTGCATAAGCGAGCCTATGGTGAACCAGAAGCTATTCGACAAACTGAACCCATTCTCGAGCACCTGGTTTTCCTTACGACAGGGATGGGGGTTCTCCCACTCGTAGGGGGACAGTCGACCCACGATGAACAGCATGGACGACACCCCTACGTAGGCGCCCACCACGTAGATCCACACGATGTTGGAAAAGGGCGACAAAAACGAGAATAGCGAGGTGACTTTTTTGGTGGGCTTTTTGAAGTCATACGACTAGGGCCACAAGTACTTACCCACCCATTTCAGCTGGCGGAGGAGTGCAAACCTCCAATACCACTCTAGCCGCTCCGCTATGTCGGCCTCCCCTCGGATCAGCTCTCCTATCATACCTACGATTGTGTCCAGAATTCAGTGATTTATTCATGAATTTAATGAATTTATATGATTCTCAAGAATATTCTGTAGGTTTAAAGTAGTAGCTAGTAGGCTAAATTAATCTTACTAGCTTACTAGCTACTAGCTAGTTAACTTTCAGAATATTCTTAACTAAGTTATTACTCAAGAATTAAAAAGTGATAATATATTATTTAGAATATTCTTTGTGTTTCGTATAGTTAAATTAAACTTTATTAATTTAATTAAATTCGCACCCTATATACCACTAAAGTATCATAAAGGATGCTATATAATATAAAATAATAAATTAAATTAAATATAAATGACATACAGTATAATAATTCAATTATAAACTTCAAGAATATAGGCTTTTATATAATATTAAAAATTGAGAAAGCAATTTACAGTAAATAAAAGCACAGGGAGATGGTGGCACATTCTTTGTGCTAGCTAGTCTGTACAGTTAACCCATAGAATATTCTTAACTAAATTATTATTCAAGAATTTAAAAATTAATCTATTATTCAAAAATATTCTATGTGCTAACTAGTATGCTAAATTTACTAACCTACTAGTTACTACTGTTAAACCACAGAATATTCTACTGTTAAGTTATTATTATAAAGAATTTAGAAATCAATATATTATTTAAAATATTCTTTGCGTTGTTTATAGTTACTATAAATTAACCTTTATTAATTTAATTAAACTAGCACCCTTTATACCACTAAAGTATTATATCATAAAGGATACTATCTAATACGAAATAATAAAACAAATTAAATATGAATGATATATAATAATTAAATTATAAAACTTTTATATAATATTAAAAATTGAGAAAACAATTTACAAGAAATAAGAGCACAGGGAGGTGTGGGTGGCATATTCATTGTGTTAGCTAGGCTGCACAGTTAACCCACAGAATATTCTTAATAAATTAATTATAGTATAGTTGACATACCGTTCCAGGTGCCGTTCTTATCGGGCCTACCATACGCCATGTCCTTTACTAATCTAAACTCGTATTTGAAGTGTAGGAGCTTTGACAGCTCCTGTATCAAATCGATGGCATAGCCCTCAAACTGGTCATTCCCACTACGTTTAAAACTCGACTCCTTAACCATGGTATACGGGTCGTTGAGCACCGTGGTGATAACTAGGTGGGTGTTTTGTAGGGTGAGCATCGAGTAGTGGTTAATCCATTGCGTGCTTATGTTGAGCCCATTGTCTAGTTTGCTATCCTCGGACCAAATGCCAATCTATGTGTCAAATAAGCAAAACATAAACAAAAACAAAAAAGTTTTGCCAAAAGTTTTAATTAAAAAGTTGTTTTTGACGTGTTTTACACAAAAAATACGATTACCTAGGCAAACTCGATTACTACATATATTTCTCAACTATCATTACTTATTCACAGTCATTCAAAATGCATTACCAGCGCCTATACTATACATATAGCTAAAATTGGTTTACATACCGGGGAAATACAAACAAAACAATAAATTTCATAATAAATCAATAATAATAATAAGTTAAGTGTAATATAGGAGTCCATTAGCGGGCCGACTCGATTGAGAGCACCGGTATGTCTAGCAAATAGTCATACCTTTTGCAGGCCTTCCGAGTCGATGGTCATCACATCTAACGTAATACTGGACCTGAATCCCGACTGATCAAAGCCCACGAGGCCTGTTATGCCGCGGAAAGTGATCTGCAATTTGCACACAAAACAAAGCAAAATATCCAGAATTAATGGCTATTCTCGAGCACAAACGTAATACTGGACCTGAATCCCGACTGATCAAAGCCCACGAGGCCTGTTATGCCGCGGAAAGTGATCTGCAATTTGCACACAAAACAAAGCAAAATATCCAGAATTAATGGCTATTCTCGAGCACCGGAATCCTATGCGAATGGTCTGGTAGGGTATGGTGTGTTGTATTATGGATGGTGTGCGTTGGGCACTGGGATGTGCTCCAGATATGATTTTTTTTGGGTAATCGATATATGTGTGTGGGATGTATGTTATTGTTATAAGTTATGAATTATAGCGAATGTATTGCCAAAACATATATAATAACTGGTGAAACAATATACCATGAGTTAATGGGCGTAATCATTAATTATAAATGAAAAAGCTAATTTTTAAGGCAATATGTGTTTCACAATAT